CCCCCCCCCCTCTCTCTCTCTCTCTCTCTCTCTCTCTCTCTCTCTGTGTGTGAATAGTTTAATTGTCACCATTGGTATACCTTGTCAACCGTTTAGCACATTTTTTACAGTATTTACAATGACAAACACACACACACACACACAGACACACACACACACACACCCACACACACCCATACACACACCTAAAAGTGGATTGCTGGGAAATAAACGCGGAAGCAAATCCCAAAGAATTCCGGTGTGAAAAAAGGTGCAAAACAGACCACAGTGTGCCATCATCTGATTGTAAAGGTAACAATCACATCTGGATGCACTTAAACAGTATTGACATGACTTTAAATAGCTTTTAAATGTATTTTTTGACATATATTTCATAAAACAAAGCAATTAACAAAGTAAGCAATGAATACATTGAGGTTGACTTAACTGTATAAACCCAGAGAATACTGCTGAGGCTGTTGTCAGAGAGTACAGGTTGACTTGTAGTCCTCGTATCAGAGGAAGTGTTGAAGAATAAAAGGTCTGTCACTGCTGCTGCGTCGTTGAGTTTAGCGTAAAGCTGGCAGCACAGCCGTGTTATCTTCCGGTGTGTTCGTGTTTTCAAAATAAAAGCTTGTGACGTTGAAGTGAAGTACACAGATTAAATCTCTACTACAGTAGAAGTAGAAATCATATCATATAAATATAATCAATTGTAAGTAAAAGTCCTGAATTAGAAAAATGTAAAGTAATAACAGAAGAATGTCGCCTAAAAAGTATGAAAAGTGACAGAAATCATTATGGCTCCGTTCAGTGCTTTAGCATTTTATAATAGAATACAATATTATTCAGTTTTATATCACTAATAAATACATGTATTTTGATGTTGTAGTTAGTTAGTAATAAAATAGCATAGAATGGAAATAGTACTTAACTAAACTACCTTAGTAAATGTATATTCCACCACTTGTTAAACAAACATTTAAATCCTGCAGCTGTTTGTTTAACAAGACTAGCTTAAATTAAATGTAAGTACATGTTGATTTCATCATGTGTGGTAATTCTCTGTTATCAAGTGAAACAGTGTTTATCTCCCTCACTGATAACACACCGATTTGTACTTCTGAGTGGAAAATAACGTCCTCGTGGTGGTTTCAGCAAGAAATAACTTGCATTCAATTCAAGGAGAATGTCCCAAAATAACTTTTAAAAGCAATTGTTTGATGTTTTGGGGAATAGTCTTGGTTGCATCCTTGCAGGGAGGAGGACCCTTTGCTGTCTCGGCTTTTATGTTGAAAAGAAAAGGAAGTGGTCTCACGGTGACGCTGCTGTGACTTGACAGAGTTAATCAGCTGCTGACTTCCTGGTTCAAACATGAATTCCAGTTATCCGCATGGGCTGCTCTATTTACTGCACAGACAGAAGGCCGTGCTGCCCTCTTCTGGACGAAGAGCTGCGCTACAAACACAGATAACACAAACATGCTGAACGTGAGACATTTTCCCAGAAGGATTCCTGGAGGACACTGAGCTGCTGTGGTAAAGCAGGTGCATGTGTGGAATCCAGGATGTTGTTTCTTACTATTGAAACCAACAACCACAGGTTTTAACTCTGGGGCTTATATATCTGAACATAGGCTAATAAATTCCACATAAAGATGTGATATTTGGAGCGGATGAATACTTATTAATCTATTTATTAACATGTTTAACCTAAATATCTGCCCTAGAATATACAGCTTAATTATTTAAATACACTTACATTAGTTGAAAAACAAATTTCCAATTCCAGCATCTTTTTTTCTCATCTCATTTTATCTTTTTAAATATTTTTTGTGGTTGTGTAGAGCAGCAGAACACATGTCTCCATCACAGGCAGGACACATGGAGAGAGCAAACAATCCCAGTGATTAAAACACAAACGTGAAGACATCTGAGAGCCTGAACCACCTGCAGCGGCGCAAAATGAAATGATCTGAAATCAAACGATGGGAACACAAAGTTTGCCGCCGCTTTGATTCAGAGCAGTCTGGTGACTCCAGTGACACACTGAGATGACTCAGTCACTGTTGTTAGTTGGTTTGTTTGTTTAAACGACTGAAGATGTAAAACATTGTTTGGAGAAGAACTTGCAATTATGAATCCCAAAATCTTCAAATGGCTCCATACTGCAGAAAAAAAGATAATTACATCACAGTATATTTTCTAAAAGTTTGAAATCTTACATTTTCTCCCACAGCATCCTCTCTGTCAATATAAAGGTGAACCAGGATGTGATGATCAGACGACTGCTCAGTGAATCTGATTGGACCTCCTCTTCACAGGCTATCAAATTGAATTTTCTTAGATGCTTCCTTTTCTAATATTGAAATGTTTAAGCCTAGTCAGTATTGTGCTCTATGGACAAACAGTCTATTACTCAATATTAAAGATATAGCCCAAACTATTTGCAAACATGTTTAAATGTGACGTATACAAAATTCAGAGCATATGATTGAGGGATTGCCTCCACACGGCTCTCAACATGGCGACGGCTGGAAGCTAACGATGCTAGCAGAGCTAACGGTGCAAACAGTGGCAGCAGTGCTGACTGAGCGAACAGTGCTGACCTGAGGGGGAAGTGGAGGGAGGGTACCACACCACAATATAAACATTGCTGCACCATCTTTACATAAAGCACATAAATGTTTGCTGCTTTATTAATGCTCTAATATTTCACCTTTAGAGCTCTGCTTGTAACAATATCACTAAATAAAGTTAGCCTAGAGTAAAGTAAGCTCTGTAATATTAACTCTATATACAATGGTGCTAAAACTAATCCTATTAAAGATGTTGCAACAATGCAATTATTGTTTAATGTCACTTTATTAAGAATTCAAGGAGTCAAAGAACTTGTTAAAGCTCTTCAGCTCTGACGGATGTGATCCACAGACTTGTGTTTTATGTTCCGTTGTGTAAAAATGCTCTAAATTGTGTACATTATTGTAAATAACTGTTAGATAGAAGACACATCCAGAAAAACACAGTGAAAGAATGTCTGTAAGTCGCTACTGTGCATCTGTCGGCATTTTTACTGTTTTGGGATTTGGGATGTTTTGGAGACCACCACACATTCCCCTCCCCCACATTTAATTACTCACCGCTGACCCATTTGAGCTGCTGCAGCCCAGACTGCACGTAGAAACGACCCGACGGGTTGTTGTAACAGCGCTGCAGTGCTCTGCGGAGGACTGTGTGATGTTTACTGATGTCCACAGGATCCCCAGCGCTCCTGTGTGAACACCGGAGAGTCATGCTGGATGCCTGGAGAAACCCCAGTGGCCCCTTTTCTAAACACAATCCCTCTTCTCACGGTTGAGTCAGCTAATTGCATTTGGCCTGAGCTGTGAAGCACAACACAGAAACTGTGACTGGTGTTAATGTAGGCCAGCGCGTACATCACTGCCATCACTAACACTTTACAGGACTGCAGGATTTTGGCAAAAGAAATTTGACGCCACCAGCTTGGCAAAAATGTTGATGGTGTATTTGTGTCCAAGAAAAAAACATAAACAACAAAATATTCTGGATGACAAATTGGACCGTGTTGATCACGCTGGAGAGGAGACGCAACGATTTGGATTGACAGAGCGAGCAGCAGGAAGCCGGCTCATCACAGTCGGAGCCTCCTTCCGCCCTGTGATTGCTAAACTGTCGAAAGAAGAGAACAAAATCAACACCCAATGCCACACACACACACACGCGCGCACACACACACACACGTAGCATCCCAATGGGGACTTTCACAGCTTCCATTCTTGCATCATCAGGTACCTGAAACCTCCAAATCTTTCTTTAAAACGCTGCAGAGAGATGAGAGGATCACTGATAAAAGAACAAGAGTATATTCTTAACCACTCAGGGTGAAATTATCCTCGTGCTCTGTCCTTCACTTCGTGTCTTTTCTATGAATCTTCCCAACCCTAAATCGTTTCCTGTGTACGACCCGGGGCTGTTTTGCCTACACAGATCCAATCTCTTCATGTACCAATTGTCCCTCAGCGCTCCATCATAGCAGCAACACTTCCTCTCCGACTCCAGCAGTCGCAGACAGCAACCTCGGTCTGAGATGCTGTGTGTTTATCTGGAGTGTTACTTCAGAGGAAGCTGATTGCAGATCTGCTTCGATGCCCCTGCACCCCCTCCTCCATCCGCACTGGTCTCTGAGCATCCTTGTGACACAGCGAGTGACTCAGCTTTATTCAGAGCAAAAGGGGCCGAACAGGAGACGTGAGCCAGCTCTCTCCTTACTGTACGCTTCCTTTTGTGTCTGCACAGCACTTATCGGGACGGACTTCACCAAAGGACACACAAGATGCATTCACTGTCCGGCTGCACCGTGTAGCACTGAGCTGCAGAGTCATAAATCGGAAACAACTGATTCACTACTCTGCTGCCTGAGGGGGAGACCGAGACACAGAACACTTTATTCAAAAAAACTCTTTATAAGTCTTTTTTTTGCATTGCTTTTTAAATCATTTGACCGGTTTATGAAGCTTGCAAAGCATGAACCAGGGTGTCGAACCATGAATTTACATTTCAGTTGCATTTCCCAAATGATTGCCACTTGCAAACTGTGGACATTCTTTATTTTTGCAAGCACTTCAGAACTGCTGCATAATCACCATGAATATGGAATTTGTTTTGACCGGTATAATGGGAGGAAATCCTCTCATGTTGCAAATTGTAGGTTGCATAATGAGAATTTAGTGAGAGAACCTGCGGGGGCTTGTTTCACCAAAGTAATTCAGTTTTTCCAAAAAGAAAAAATATGCTTTTAGTTTTTGCGCTTCGAGCTATTAAAAACAGTCGGCCAGAGGGTCTATGAGTAGCTGAACGCGTTGACATCTTTAAAGATAAACTTTAAAGCTACCAATCAGCTACTATTTAGACTTTTTATGAAACAGCACTCTAATTTGGAAAGATGTACTGCAAATAGAAGTGATGACACTAAACACATTTGGAAAGGTGGAAGAAGTTAATTGAAGTTGGAGGCTGGTGAGAAGTTTGTTTTAATTTAGAAAGTGTAGAGTTAAAGTAAATGCTCTCTGTAATCACCTTGCTGTGCATTGTGTTATGTTTGTTTTTTGGTGACTTAAGTGATGTTTTTATTAATAAAAAAATATAAAAGCTACCTCTTTAGTCTGGCTTTTACTTTTTTCAAAAGGACTTTTTTATCTTTTATTATTTCGTTTTTTAAAGCCCCAGAACACTTCACACCTCAGAAGTATTTGTCTGTGACATTGAATCAGCAATTAGGACTAAATAAGCAATAAAAAAACATCTATGTTTCACTTATTGAAGATTTAACACTAAAGTTATATACAAATAAAATCCACAGAAATCGTATACTATTGACTATACCTGTTGTAATTTGGTAGTAGTAAGACGCCGATTTACAGAATAAGTGCGGAGGATTTTTAAATGTTTTATTGTCTTTTATCTACTGCATTTTATTGTTTTGATCATTTGATTTTCCATTATTCATATTTGCATTTACATTTCTAGTATATTTGGGTACTCATACGGCTTTTACAGTTTGAATACTACAGTTTACACACTGCTACATGTGTACATGTATGTTTTCTACAGTCGAGCAGCAAACTCTTCCAGCATTCTGGTGAATATTTATGCACCAAATTTATGGTGGAAATGTCTTTCTTTACGTAAAGGAAAACACAAAATAGAGATAAATGTAATGGAATACAGTGCAGTAAGGCTCTCGGGCATTCTGTGTTGCTTTCAAATATGAATTCTCCTGCAGATCAACGGTTCTCATTTAATGTTATCTCTGCTGAGTCAACACACACACAGTCATCATTTACTCTTCCCTCCTCTGTTGTTTTTTGGGGGTTATAACCTCTTTAAATGTGCACGTAAATTTACTCCAATGATACATTAATTCATTTTAATTAGTTTATAAACCTCCGGACTTAAATAGCTCATATCTCTTTCTTTATTAGGATCCCCATTAGCACTAGCGTTCTCCCTGTGGTCCACACACACACACACACACACACACACACACACACACACACACACACACACACACACACACACACACACACACACACACACACACACACACACACACACACACACACACACACACACACACACACACACACACACACACACACGTATATACAGTATAGCCACATAAACACAACCATCCAAACAGCTCATCTTATTAAACGAACAAGTAGGGAAGAGAAACAATATTGTCATTGTTTTAACAAACACAATTACAAATCAATCACAGCTCCTCAAGAATTAATTGCAAACTTGATTGATTTTGTCACATAATGTGGATGAAGTCATACAGTTTCAAGAAAAAAGTTGTAATATTACGATAATAAAGTCATAATTTAATGACAATAAAGTTCATATTTTAAGAGACATCGACAGAGAGCAGGGGCTCTATTTAAAATGTTTGATTAAAATTATTGCTCAGGATTTTTTCCAACCCCACTCAACCAAATGCTGCACTCTTGATGTTTATCTGGCCAAGAACCCAAGCTTCCACACATCTAGCCCTGCAGTGCCCACAGCGGCCACTAGGAGGAGCTCTGGCTCCTGTGGTCGACACCAAAGCCGTCTGACCACAGACACAGGAGGTGGTGTTTAGTGAGAGGATTTCATCCCTCTCACATTCCCTCTTTCGGGAGCCACATATGGTCATAATTTCCCTGAATACTCGTCACCACCTCACACACCAGACATTTGTCCTCCCGACTGATTCCCTTCATGCAGAGAAAGCAGAGCACATTAGAGCTCCTCCTCCCTCATCTGTCCTTTCTTCCTCCCCCGTTCTCTGCCTCCTGTTTTACTGCATCCTGTGTTCAATGCCACCTGTCTGCTCCCTTTCTCTCCTCCACTGATGTTGCAGTGCAAAATGGAGGAGGCTATTACTGTGGCGTATTAGCTGCGTTGCACCATCCATTTTTATCTCACCTCCTCTGTTGGACTATAAACTGCTTCACAAAAGTGGAATGTTCTCAGACACTTATTGGAGAGGAGGTGATGATACAGATTCATCTTTTGAATAAACTGTGTGAACTTATTTTCCATTACTGGCTGAGTTAATGAGCTGAGCTTTAATCCTCGTTCAAGCCCGGTACAAAGAAGCTCAAAGAGCTTTAATCATTTGCATTTATTCATTTGGAGCTATTGTGACTGACCAGCACTAGCATTTTCCCGCCTGGCTTGCATGTCAGCTCTTCAGCTACAGTAGTGGGCCAACTAGACAATGTACCAGAGCCACTCATTTTGCTGTGCCAGTTTCTGGTGTGAAGGGCCATTAGCTAATGTTGTAACCTTCACCTGCAAAATGGGACTCAAGGAGACACGTACCAACCAGGAAGAGACTCAAATTTACAACGAAACAAAACGATTACAAAGAGAAACAAAAAGACAACAAAGAGACTCACAAAGACTATGAAATAGGGGCAAATCAACCACAAAGAGACACAAAATGGCCACAAAGAGACTGAAACATTTTCAAATCGATGCAAAACAGCTGCAAAGAAGAATACAAACCACTGTAAAACATTTGACTGTACGTTTTCAGATGATTACTGGCTAGTGGCATTACTTTTACAGTTTGCTGTGACATTTTTAGAGTGAATTACAGTAAAATTACAGCTATATACTGTGACTTCACAGTCAGTTACAGCATCATATTGCTGTGATTTAGAAGTATGCGGCTGTAATATTTCTGCAGGTTATTAATGAAGCATGCTGTTGTAGAATTAGTACGTTCAAACTCAAATTTCCTGTGTAACAGCCCCGTAATTAATTTCACAATACAAGAGTACAGTATTGTGTATTATCACAGTTAAAGCCTGTGAAGTGATACTCGTGTAGTTCATTGTGAAATATTACAGTTAAATCTCATGAAAGTCTGTAAATAATTTACAGTGAATATAAAACCACCACAAAGAGAAGCAACAGGAAAACGACTACAGACAAAACAAATACAACTATAAAAAAATACCAAATCATTTACAAAGAGACAAAAAGTGTCTGGACAACGATAGAGTCTCTGTGTCTTGCCCCCATGAAGGAGAGGTGGTGGCATGTCTCAC